CAGGAGAATACAAACAGAACAATCCATTACGTTAATCCTTAAAAAATACAATTGTCGCAGGCCTATTTAATAATTAACTGGCATTGTACAACAAGTGTGCGTATCTTATCCAGCTTCATAGAAAAACGTAGTCAAAACTTTGACATTTAAACCAACGCACCTTGCGTTAATTACAATGAAAATGGCATTTCCTCTGGCTAATCAAATTGCATCCTGCTGATGACAATGAGTTCCGTAAGAAACTCAATCATCAATTTGCCCGAATACTACAAATTAGATAAGTGTCTATTTTGGGTCATTCTTTGTAAAATCATTTTTCAAATTAAATCTCATTAACTTCTCTTTTAACATTCTCTTTCTTATAACTTATTTATTATTAATTAAAATTTATTATAAATAACAAAATTTGTAATTCTCAAGTTTCATTTAATGAGTCCTTATACAATGGTATTATCCACTAACATTTGTAATTTTTAATTAATAATAAATAGAGTATTAGTAAGGGAAAAAAATTAGGTGGTCCTGAATTATATAATCTTTAATTAATTTCTACATAAAATTAAATTTTTTTTCTCATAATTTTAAAATTTTAAATATATATCATATAATGATTAGTTGAAGGTATGGACAATTGATTATTCTATACTATCTAATAATTTTTCATTGATGAGAGAATGTAGCTAATATTTTTCTTAATTTTAATTAAAATTGATTTTAAAGTGTAGTGATTTACGTTATACATTTTAAATATAAAAATGAGTTGTTATTAATATTATTTTTTTAATTCAATATAAAAGTTACCTAAAATTAATTCATTTCAATCAATTGTACTCCCAAATAAAACCAATTTCTTGATGTGTGGTAATTCAATGTGAATACAAAAAATCAATACATATTGAGAACTAATGAAACAATATAATTTTACATATTCAATTAATAAAAAAAATTATGGATATGATTCTAAAGGTGATTATTGTGAAAGATCTATGCACTACCATAAATGATAATATAAAATTACTTTATATTATTGGTACATAATTGTGAGCGATTTTTTATTTATTAAAATGCTTTTATTGATAAAATTAATGAAAAAGTTTTAATTTTTTCCTTTTATGTCAGTTTCTCTTTTACCCCTCTCCGAATCATGATATGTCTAATAAGAAGAGTGAGATAGAAATAGATTAAGAGTTTCAACAAGGTGCTTCATTTATATGGTAGTACAGAAAGCATCACCCATTTCCAAATCTGTTATGATAACTGATATTATCATATCAGACATCTGATCTCTTGATTTTTTGCATGATGTATTGAATAAATAAGGTCACATTTAAATGAGAGGATCCCCCTTTCTCTACAGCTGTTTTAGCCTTCTCTGCAAGCTCTCTTACCCTTTTTCTTCTTTCTTCACTTTCGCTAGTCCCATCCATTAACTTTACTATTGCCTTTTCAACATTTTCCTTCTTCACCAGCACACCAATTTCCTCTTCTTTGCCCCATGTAACAGGACTCTCCACCCCAATCTTTACTCCTACTTTTAACACTTCAACAACTAGACTTTCATTCAAAAACTGATCAGCAAACAGTGGCCACGTCAACATTGGCACTCCAGCACATATTGCTTCTAAGGTAGAGTTCCAACCACAGTGTGTTATGAAGCCTCCAATAGCAGGGTGAGATAATATTAACAACTGAGGAGCCCAACCCCGAATCAGAAGGCTTCTACCATTGGTCCTTTCCTCAAATTCATCTTCCTTGATCCATTTTTCCAATGCTTCTGATTGACTTCCTTCCCTGATAACCCAAATGAAGGGTCTTTCTGATGCTTCTAAGGCTAAACCAAGTTCTATCAACTGTTGAGGTATTAAATTGCATAGGCTTCCAAAGCATGCATATATGACAGTCTCTGGCTTTTGACTATCAAGCCAGCACTTCAGGTGGTTCTCGTCAATTGAGGCCCTTTTACCTCTTTGAGTCTTATCCAAAGCATCCTTGTTACTATATGACGATAGTGGTCCGAAACACCAAACTTTATTGTTTCTCATCTTCTTGAGTCCCTCTGCATATGCTGGTTCCAACTCTTCAAAAGAATTCATGATCATTCCATATGCTTCCATTTCAGCTTCTAACATTGCCTCTCTAATATGTCTCGTAGTGCTTTGATTCATTGGTAGTCCTGTCTGAGCTATGGTCACTTCAATTTTGTCAGGGATATCAGGTACATCAAAGTACTCCGATTCAGTAGTTATGCTCTCCACTACATTATGTAAGCGTATATTATACATGCATAAGAGATAGAAGCAACTTACTCCGACAAAAGAAATCCGGGGAATATTAAATTTTCTAGCAATATGGTTTGTATATGGTAAACACATATCAGAGATTATGCAGCTTGGTGGCGGTGTTAACTCTTCAAAAAGTTTTTCCGCTGGTTGTTGTAGAAAGCTTGCTGCATTGATGAAACTGGAGGCCATGCCAAGTGAAGGTATCATATCGAGATTCTCGCATCCATCTGGTACTCCACCTTCTTTGCATGGGAATTGAAGTTGAGCTAATCTGATTTGAAAACCAGATTCAATATAACGATCAACAATTGAAGTGAAACGAGTTGCATTATGTGGCGTTGTGACTACTGTCACAATAACATTGCGGTGCAGCAATATTTTAGCAATGTCCATCATGGGTATCATGTGGCCTTGAGCCATCAATGGAAACAAGACAAAGTGGAGTTGCTGTTCTTGGGGTGCCATTGTAGCTAGTTGTTGAATGGTATGGTACGATGAATTCACTTCAACTTGTTTATTATAGGATATATATATATATAGCACACATCACTCTTTTGGTGATGTAAGTGTCTACACAACTAGGTTTGATTTTGAAACAGTGCATTGTAAATTTCGTTGTCATATTTTGTCTGTTTGGTTTTGCAATTCATCCAGCTATCGAAACAAATGCGTGAAGTTAGAAAGTTTTTATTTTTATGTATCGTCGTGTCTCTGTCTGTCGATCCCAAGCCGGCCATGAGAGTCATAATTATTTAATACTTTAAAAATACACATATCTATACGTGAATATTATAAGGTTAAAATCTTTATTTGGTCTCTTATAATATTTTTTTTTTCAATTTAGTCTCATTTTAATTTTTTGTTTCAATTTAGTTCCCAATAATTTAAATTATTGCAATTTGAGACTTCCGTCCAAATAATTTAAACGGAATTAATTATTGGCCACGTGAATGTCAGATAGATGTCATGTAGATGCATACGTGGCTGCCAAATTTCAAGAATACACATGGAACCAGAATGGCCCGTTCTGAAACCAGAACGGCCCGTTCTGCTTGTACATGTTATGTGTTAGTTTTGCAACTGGAATGGGCCGTTCCAAATACAAATTTAACACACCATGAGTGCACCAGAACAGATCGTTCTGGTTTTAGAACGGGCCGTTCTGGTTTTAGAACGAGCCGTTCTGGTTTTAGAACGGGCCGTTCTGGTTTTAGAACGAGCCGTTCTGGTTTCAGAACGGCCCGTTCTGGAGTCAACTTCGTTTTTCAAGATGTGATTCAAAAATTAAAAATTCATAACATATCATAAATTCAAAGACAAAAACATGGTTCAGAAACTGAAAACCAAAATTCAGAACATAACATATACTAAAAAAGTTCAAAGAAATTACTGAAAAAGAAAATCATTTGGGTAACACCGAAGGGAAACTCTAAACCACAAAAATTTAGGTTGTACCTTCTCAAAAACAGGTTGTTATTATTGGGGTACATCGTCAATGACTTCAAGAAGAAACACCGTTTCGTTTCATCCTTGACTGTATAGTGTTAATTTGGTAGTAAGTGGTTCACTCCGATTTGACTAACAATGAAATAAAACCTGCTACCATTGTCCATAGTGATACACTGCATCGTCATTAATAATACACTATATAGCCCAAATATTTAACAATTGATGTTATCAATCCCCATTGACAATATTATCAAATCTAGTGTTTGAAATGCTTTGCACCTTGGATATTTTTCCGTGCATGATTTACAACCGTGAAATATAACTATCGACCATTCAGGAACCAGAACGGCCCGTTTTGAAACTAGAACGGCCCGTTCTGGTTCCAAAATGGGTCGTTCTGATTCCAGGTGTATTCAAGAAATTTGGCATCATCTACGTGGCATCCACCTGGCATTCACGTGGCCAACAATTAACTCTGTTTAAATTATTTGGACAGAAGTCCCAAATTGTAATAATTTAAATTATTGGGGACCAAATTGAAATAAAAAATTAAAGTGAGACTAAATTAAAACAAAAAAAATATTATCATAGACCAAATAAGGGATTTAGATATTAGAAGAAAATAAAAGCCATTTAAAAAGAATAATGAGTAATAAACTTTCAACAATCATAAATTAAAAAGCCATTAAAATGAGATATTATGAGTAATCAATTTCAGAATATGTTAAAAGCATTACTTTTATGAAATTCCTTAATTTCAAAATTATTTAAAATAATATTAGAAAAGGAAATGAGACTTATTCTTTTAGTGCATGATATCTATTATAAAACACTTATTTTATTTAACTAAATTGTTGAGAGTTTAAATTCTAACTTTAAATATAAAATAATTTATGGTAAGAAAAAAATTCACTGACAAAGATTAATTATTACTTTTAATAATAAGTATTTCATATCCATATATTATAACTTTTTTAAATAAAAAAAAAAAAAAAAAGAGAGACTGAGAGAGAGAATACAAACAGAACAATTAAGTCATTACGTTGATCCTAAAATTACAAAAATTGTCACAGGCCTATATGTCGCCTTGCATTGTACAAACATGCCAACAAAATGTGCTGGGGAGTACTTTGGCCTATTCCATAAAATATGACTAAATAGCTTTGTTCTCAACCTTTTTTTTTCATGAAGCAGTACTATGATCCAAATATTATACACCATAGCAAGTAAAGGTTATGAACATTCAAACCATAATGACATACAAAAGGGAGCAAATTTAGAAAGAGACAACAATAATTTGTCAATAAATTATGTTCAATATTCATATACAAAAGCAAGGGTTTATGATGTGAGCAGATAAACCAATCCAGAAAGAAAAGTGTATACACTCGATCCTATAAGTCTGGCATAAACCTCTGAAATATGCTTTGTCCAACATTGTCTAAAATATCCTTCAGCTTCTCCAACACTGTATCCAAGTGGGATGCAGCAACCTTAATAAATAAAAAGTGAGTTAAGCAATTGGTAAAGGAAAATGCATCGAACAAGATCAAAATAAATAAATAAACAAGAGACTAAATTACCAATCCCATTGCTTTTGCCAACCCAAGTCTATTTGTTGGAATTGCAATGTTTGCTTGCTTATACATCCAATCTATTTTGTCATGGACATAAGCTCTGTCATTTACCTTTTGAAGCAGAATCCCCAAGCACCTGTGTTCATGTTCAATACTGTTTTTCACAACCGGTCCGCTTAAATAATGGGCACTAGAATTTCCAGACAACAGGCAGAGAGAACCAAATTGGAAAATACATGGTTGTGCCAAAAAAAATTGAAAACAAATACTGTAGTAGTAGACAAGCCTTTATGTACAGATTGGAAGTAATAAAAAAAACTGCATGTAAGGTTGTACATCATTTGCTCCACTAGTCACTTTTTATCACATATTCCTAAAAAAAACAATTTTTTTTTTATTAATATAAGGGCAGGTACATTGGCGTAATATATTGAGTTGCAAGGATGGAATTGGTTCCCCATTTGTTCTTACATTGTTCTCCAGCTGTTTCTTTAATTCTACATTTGTCCTTTTAGTGGAAGTGATGGGTTTGCCCTAGGTCCTCCAGATTTGGACCACTTTCTGTTAAATAGCCTTATTAGTTTTGATTGAAGGAAAAAAAAAAAACTAATTTTCATGGCAATGTGTCATATACGCTACTCTTTTGTGCATTTGGTTGGAGCCCTTTCAAGAAAAATCTTTGGATGAGCTTTTTATTTTGGGATAAGATTATGCATCTCTTGGCTTCTACATGTAAAGTCCGTGGTCATTGCTATATGAAAATATCTTAGAGTATCTTAGATACACTTTAGGAATAGTTTCCATACTTCCCATTATATCTTAGGATCAGTTACCATATTTCATTATCTCATGATTTATTTTCCTAATTAGTCAGGATTATGATTAATATAAATAAGCATTGCTGCTCTAGATTTTATACACACATCAATACATTGTAATGTAACATAATTCATTACATAATACTCTGTTTTCAGGAGGAAGAGAATCTGTTGCGGAAACCAAGGTTCAGGATCAAAGAGAAGCTCTTGATACCATGATACAAATGCAGCAGAAGACAAAAAAGAAAGGTATATAGAGAGAAAAAATGGTTTAATAGTCGGTAAGACTTATAGTTGTGTGTGTGTGTATATATAGGAGGATCTCTTATCATTACATTACAAACATGCCAACAAAATGTGCTGGGGAGTACTTTGGCCTATTCCATAAAATATGACTAAATAGCTTTGTTCTCAACCTTTTTTTTTCATGAAGCAGTACTATGATCCAAATATTAATATACTACAGTCAATAAAGGGGGTAATTAATTCCATGAACTCTATAATTTCGTGCAAACTGGGTATTACCTGCGGGTACGGGTATATTTGTCATCCCTAATTGATACAATGACATTCCCTCTCGGCTAATAACCTAATTACATCCAGCGGATGGCATTGGGTTTTACAAGAAGTTCAATCATTTTACCAGAATACTACAAATTAATATCGGTGCGTATTTTGAATGAAATTAATATGAATAAAATAAATTTTGAACAGAAGTGATTTATATATGTCGAAAACAAGTTGGTATATATATAAATTTTTATTCAATATAAAGCAACCTAAAATTATTTTTGAGTTAGAATCTTTTTATCCTATAAATAAACAAAAGTTCACTTTTATTCTTTCCTTTTATAATCGTTGATTTTTTGTCTTTCACTTTGAAAAAATTGTGTCACCTTAAAAATCTCAGGCATTAAGACCATCAATGCAACTAATGGTATGCTAAATCAGCACTATAAACGTGGACATTTTGGGTGATGTGGCATCCACATATTTTTCACATGACAAATGTTTCTTTTGTCTTTAAATTTGTTTTAAAGTCTGATTTTAGTTCTCATAAAATTTAAAACTTCATTTTAGTCCATATAAAAGTTTAGTTTTAGTTCTTATAAACTTCGTGTTTGAATTTATTAGTTCATTTAAAATTCAAAATTTGATTTTAATCCTTAATTTGTTATATATTTTAGTCATTTTTTTAAATCTATAATATCTTAATTAACCATCCATTTTCACATTCTTCTAACGATTATAATGGTATAGTATTTTCAAGTTATAGTTGTAAATTAAATTAAGAACCAATTACTAAATTGCTTCAATCAACCCTCAAAATCAATCATATAAAAGTTGTTGCTTAATTGTGTGTTTACAACTTTAATGTTATGACATTTCTAATTGAAAATGATAGCAATATATCATTTAACACATTCTTTCGAATACATTCTTGTTACTACTAAAATACTAGCTTTAGAAGTTGAGTTGTTCTCATCAACTTACAAATCAATCATTAACAACCAGTAAGGATAAACTCAATATATGAAGACCCATAAAAACAAAAGTCGTAGTCTTAAGCGAGAAAAGGAAATTGACGGCAAAATGATGGGATCGTCGTTTGGTATACACTGAGGTTTCCTTTCATTTCCGTCAGATCATCCTTGGCATATGCAACTAAGGCCCAAACAAAGGATTTCAACTATAGATCTAATGTCTATGACAACAAAATTGATCAATATTTGTGTCGTTGCACAAGTCTATATGGCTATTATTGATGTGACAACTACTTGAATTATCATTGTTATTCTTGTCCTTGCCTCAACACCAACAGTTTGGCCACCTAGACTTTCTTCTGAACTTACATTTGAAGACAATATGAATAGTGAATGAGAGGCTTAGTTGTCCAATAGCTTTGATGCTGTAAATGGCTCAAACCATCCCTTCAACTAGAATGAGATCCATAAGGCAAGAAATGAGAAACAACTACATAATTGCTAAACTAAGGATCAATAACCCCTATTTAGAGGAACCAACCAACCCGACATGTCGTTGCCTATCTTGTAGAACCACAGGAAGTATACGTTGAGGGGTAGTCGCTTCTCTAGTTTGGAACAGTACAACTTGCCCAACGACCACCTAATGCGACTGACACATAAATGAATTATAAAATTTAACTATACATAATGTTAATAATAATATATTACTTTCACAAACTTGACTTACTCAATTTCTCCTATCTCATATTTTATTAAGTTACAATCGAGTTCGATTTAAGTTCTCATAAATGACTCATAAAATTTTTGAATTGAGTAAACCTATCGGTCCCATCTCATATTCAACCTACAAATAATATGATAGTTTACGCGATTTTCTCTATACGTTGGTGGGTAGGTCAAAGTGTAATTAAATGATTAAAATTTTGAATTGATGACTAAAGTCAAACTTGAATTTTATGAGGATTAAAATCAAACAAAGAACTTTATAAGAAATAAAACTAAACTTTTAAATTTTGTGGGGACTTTAAAATCAAATTTAAAAATTTGTGATGACTAACACCAAACCTGAAAATGTTTGCATCAATAGTAGTAACATTGTATCACTATTAATTGCATTAACGACATACTAGTACTGCCGAAACAAAAAAATTTCCTATAAAAATTGTATGACTTGAACAAATTATATGAATAAATTTGAAAGAGGTCATGTATGTATTCTAAAGATAGATAGTAAAGGTATGGCCTTTTATTTCAAATCATTTTATATATATGGTAACCGATATTATCACACCTCTCTCTTGATCTTTTGCATGATATCCTGGATCAGCAAGGTGACATTAAAATGAGAGGATCCCCCTTTCTCTACAGCTCTCTTAGCCTTCTCAGCAAGCTCTCTTACCCTTTTTCTTATTTCTTCACTTTCATTTGTCTCATCCATTAACTTCCCAATTGCCTTTTCAACATCTTCCTTCTTCACCAGCACACCAACTTCCTCTTCTTCTCCCCATGTAACAGGATTCTCCACCCCAACCTTTACTCCAACTTTTAATATTTCAACAACTAGACTTTCATTCAAAAACTGATCAGCAAACAGTGGCCACGTCACCATTGGCACCCCAGCACATATTGCTTCTAAGGTAGAGTTCCAACCACAGTGTGTTATAAAGCCTCCAATAGCAGGGTGAGATAATATTAACAACTGAGGAGCCCAACCCCGAATCAGAAGGCTTCTACCATTGGTCCTTTCCTCAAATCCATCTTCCTTGATCCATTTTTCCAATGCTTCTGATTGACTTCCGTCCCTGATAACCCAAATGAAGGGTCTTTCTGATGCTTCTAAGCCTAAACCAAGCTCTATCAACTGTTGAGGTATTAAATTACATAGGCTTCCAAAGCATGCATACATGACAGACCCTAGTTTTTGACATTCAAGCCAGCATTTCAAGTGGCACTCGTCAATGGTGGCCTTTTTACCTCTTTGAGCCTTATCCAAGTGTTCCTTGTTACTATATGATAGTGGTCCGAAACACCACACTTTATCGTTTCTCATCTTCTTGTATCCCTCTGCATATGCTGCCTCCAACTCTTCAAAAGAATTCATGATCATCCCATAAGATTCCATTTCAGCTGCAAACACTCTATCAGTAACCTGTTTCATGCTTTCATTCATTGATAGTCCTGTCTTTGCTATGGTCATTTCAATTTTGTCAGGTATTCCAGGCACAAGAAAGTGCTCGGATTCAGTAGCTATGCTCTCCGCAACATTATGGATGCGTATATTAGACATGCAAAAGAGATAGAAGCAACTTACTCCAACAAAAGAAATCCTGGGGATATTAAATTTTTTAGCAATGTGGTTTGTGTATGTTAAACACATATCAGAGATTATGCAGCTTGGTGGTGGTGTTAACTCTTCAAATAGTTTTTCCGCTGGTTGTCGTAGAAAGTTTGTTGCATTGAAGAAAGTCGCGGCCATGCCAAGTGAAGGGATCATATCAAGATTCTCGCATCCATCTGGGGCTCCACCTTCTTTGCATGGGAATTGAAGTTGAGCTAATCTGATTTGAAAACCAGATTCAATATAACGATCAAAGATTGAGGTGAAACGAGATGCATTTTGTGGTGTTGTGACTACAGTGACAATAACATTGCGGTGCAGCAATATTTTAGCAATGTCCATCATAGGTATCATGTGGCCTTGGGCCATCAATGGAAACAAGACAAAGTGGAGTTGCTGTTCTTGGGGAGCCATTCTAGATGTGGAATGGTATGATACAATTACGATAAATTCTCTTCAACTTGTTTCTGTATTTATATAGGCAATTAGGCATCATACAAGACGGATCACTCTATCGGTGTTGTAAGCACCTATATATATATACACACAATTACGTTGGATTATGAGACAGTGCATTGAAAATTTCCTTGCCATTTGTTTGTTTGGTTTTTCATCATCTGTTGAAACAAATACATGAAGTTGGAAAGATTTTATTTCTTTGTATCGTCGTGACTCTCTTTGTCGATCCCAAGCCGGCCATGAAAGTACGTAGTAATTATTTAAAAATTCATAAATATTAATATCGATAAACTACTTTAAGTCAATGTTATAAAGAAATAAGAGAAAGAATAAAGAAAAAGAAAAGAAAGAGGAAAGAAGAAAAAGATAAGAAAAAGAATGTAAATAGAAATAGGTCAGAGAGAAATAATTTATCAAAATTTATATTCTTAAATATCAGATAACTTTTTTCACGTGGAATTAATTCTGAATTAACTTTTTGTATAATTTTTTAAAAATTCTAATCTGATGAACTTTTATACTCTTTATTGAGGAAAACCAAGACAGGTCTCGGCCTAACCGAAAAGAACAAGAATGCAAAGCATATATTAGCTGATTGTGTAGAAATGGACGCGACACATAAATGGGCTATAATACACAAATTCGTTTTCTTACATTTAACAATTTTAGCAACATATTTATCGATTTACATTTATTAAAAAATAAATTATATTTTTAGTTTTTTATTTTCATTAATTTATAATTTTAGTCTTTTATTTTAAAATATAAATACTTATTTTCTCTAATTTTAAAAATACATAATTTTAATACTCTCATCAAATTAATATCTACTAATCATTAAATTTTAACATTTACTCATACTTACATAATATTATATTTATTAATATGATATTTAGAATTAAAAAAAATTAAAAAAATATATAAATAAGATTTTTATTAGTAAAATAAATATCAATCACTTATAATTAATATATATATATATATAAATTATCAGATAATATCAAAATTTAATAATCAATGAACATCAAATTAATGAAAGGATTAAAATTTCATATTTTGTAAAACAAGAGGACTAAATGTCTCTATTTTAAATAGAGAATAAAAATAAAGAGATCAAAAGTATAATTTAGTTTTTATTAAAATATTACTATAAATTAAATTAATTAATAAGCTATTGCAACATTTTATTTAGAAAATATTATTATAGATAAAATAATATTTTTAAATTATCTATTGAAAATAAATCCCACATTAAATAAAAGAATGATATAAAAAGTATATTTCTCCTATATCTCTAATTATTTTTCAAAATTTGAAGTTTCATATCGAATAAAAGAATAACATATAAAAAATATGTATAACTATAGAGTGAAACTTAAGATTAATGAACTTTAATATGTAATCAAGATTTATTGATGACTAACTTATTTAAGATAGCTTAAATTTTAAAAAACTTGTAAGCAATAGTCATAAAGTATAACTTGTAATATAAACTAATTATCATTTTATAAAGTTTACAAAAACTTAATTAACAATATATTATTAAATTAATATAGAATACCACTTTGACAAAATTTTTAAAAATGTTGTTATTAACATGTAAAATATTATTAAAAATCTTTAAAACATAAATTTTAACTTACATTTAATAAAATGTTGCAAAAGTATATTAATATTTACTCATAATTTAACAATATTTTTTTAAAAGTGTGTCTCTTTGTTGCTACACTTATTTGTTTATTATCAGCTGCTTAGTGCAAATGAATTTGCATCCCATGTTATATTTGTCTAATTATAAATAACAGGGAATACAAACAGAAACAAATCATTCTGTTTATCCTAAAATTACAAAAATTGTCGCATGCAGGCCTATCTAGCCGGCATTATACAAGAAGTATTGGTGTATATGATCCAGCTTCATAGAATAACCAAGTTAAAATTTTGACTGTTTAAATTGAAACCAATACGCCTTGCTTTGATACTATACTATGATAATAGTATAAATACATCCTGCCGATAATTAACGTTGAGTTTTACAACAAGTTCATTCATTTTGACAGAATACTACAAATTAGATAGATTAGAGTTTGCAAAATTAATTTTAGATGCAATCAATATTAATAAAATTAATTTTAAATCGAAGTGATTTATGTTTAATATTTTTATTCAAAAAACAAGTTAGTATAAATATAATTTTTTTATTCAATATAAAGAAACTTAAAATTATTTTAAGGTTAAACATCTTTTTAATTTTGTAAAAAAAAAAATCGTTTAGCCATATAAATATACAAAAGTTTCCTTTTAGTCATTCCTTTTATGATCGTCGACTTTTGGTCTCTCATTTTGAAAAATATGCCATATTAAACCATATAGCTACTAACATTGTTAAGGCATCTAAGAGCAACTTCAATGGGAGTTGCTTGCCTCATCAAGCAACTCCAACATGAGTTTCTTACCATTGGAGAGGTATGAGGTGGCATCAAGAGTTTCTTGCAGAGGAGAGAGGGTTTTTTAGTGAAGCAATGGTTGCTTATTTTTGTGAACTGAAGGAGGCGCGGCGGAGGCGCGGGATTGGACGGCAGAGGCGCGCATTTGGACGGCGGTGGCGCAGTTGAACGGCGGAGGCGCGCTGGTGGACGTTCTGTCGCGGGTGGACATTCTGGCTGGACCTGCAGGCAACGGCGGCGGCGGAAGACGGGGTTTGAAGGTGGAGTTGGAAGAAAAGGAAAGGTGAAAAAAAATGAGAAAACCCTCTCACGAAGAGAAGAAGAAGAAAAAGAGACAGTTTAAGAAATAATAAATAAAAAATAGAAATTAAAAAATTAAAAATTAAAAAATTTATAAAATTTATAAAATTCAAATAATGATATTACTGTGTTAAATGCATCTAATGTATTTAACGAAGTTCTTTTAGGAACTGCTCCGACAGTGCAATACACCGTGAATAGAACTTAATATAATATGGGTTACTATCTGGCAGATGGCATATATCTAGACTTTGCTACATTTGTCAAGACCATCTCCATGCCACAGGAGGAAAAAAGGAAATTATTTGCCCAACGACAAGAATCAACGAGAAAGGATGTAGAGCGTGCATTTGGAGTGCTTCAATCTCGATTCGCAATCATACGAGGTCCGGCACGTTTTTGGGATGCCGCAATAATGAAAAATATAATTTATGCATGTATCATATTGCATAACATGATTGTCGAGGACGAGCGAGACACCTATCAAAATTATATTGATTATGATAGTATAGATTGACATGTCAATATCTGAAATATCTATAGGTGCTCATCCTAATTTTAGAACAACATACCTTCAAAGGAGAGTAGACGTTCATGACAAACGAATACACCGCCAACTTCAAGCAGATCTTATTAAACATATTTGGGAACGTTTCAGAAATAATAATGATGAAAATTAATTTCGTATAATGTTTATGTATTTACTATTGCTTTATTTTATTTTTAATATCTACTTATTGTGTATTTTTTCTCATAATTTTTTTTTATTGTAGTGCAATTGTCCTTTTTAATAAAAATTTTAATTTGGTTCATAAATGATTTGAAAAAAATTCTAAAAGTTGAATTTCTTAAATTTTTTACTATTAGAGTAAATTTCTGTTTGAGTTGTTTAATGCTAACATAACACACTAGGGACCACTTTTTTCATTTTCCAATGCATGAAGCAACTCAAATGAGTTACTTTCATTGGAAATGCCCTAAGGTAATGCCAAATCAGCAATGTCATGTGGACATTTTGGGTGACGTAGCATTTACATGATTATCAGGTGACATCTACATGTTTTTTATGTGATAAGTTTATTTTTACTAAAATAAACTTTATAAAATTTATAATTTCATTTTAGTTTCTATAAAATTTAAAATTTGGTTTTAATTCCTATATATAAAATTCATATTTGATTTTAGTTTTTATAAAATAAAAAGTTTGATTTTAATCCTCAATAATTTTAAAGTTGGATTTTAGTCTTTAATTTGTTATCCTATTTTAATAATTTTGTAAATATCTAATATTTTCTTCATCCTTTTTTCCATTCATCTTATAAGCATAATTATATAAGATTATTCAAATCATAGTTGAGAATTGAATTGAGAGTCAAATAGTAAGTTAGTTTTGATCAACACCCTAAAAATCAATCATATAAAATTGTAGTTTGTATATATATGTATTTTAAACTACTTTCAGGTTTTAACATTTCTAATTGAGAAATGTTAGTAATACATTATTTAATATATTCTTTAATTTAAATATACTCTTGTTATCATCAAAGTATTAATTATAAAAGTTCGATTGATCTCACTAGGTACACATGCAGCTGATTTAGTCATTAAGAACTAACAAGAATAAATTCAATATAATGAAAATAAATTGAAAACCCATAAATAGAAATGTCATAATTTCAAACAAGAGAAGGAAATTGATGGCAAAATTGTGGACCCCAATTTCATCTACACTAAGATTTTCTTCATTATGTCAAATCATTCTTAGTGTCTGCAATTAGGGTCTAAACAAGGGATTTCTTGGTATGGATCCCACGCCTTAGTAAAGAAATTGATTAGTACTTGTGTCATTAATTGCCCAAGTCGGTACGACTACTACCAATGTGGCAACTGCTTCAATTATCGTTGTTGTTCCTACCCTTGCCTAGAATGGTTTGGTTGCCTAGCCCTGATTTTATATTGAAAGACAATATGGATAATGAAGGAGAGGCTCAATTGCCCCGTAATTCCAATGTTGGAAATGACTTAAATCATCCCTTTAATCAGAGTGGGATCTATAAGGCAAGGATTGAGGAACACCAGTAGAATTGCTAACATGAAGGATCGAGAACCTCCATTAAGAGGAATCAGCCAACCCAATTTGTCGGTGTCTATCATGTGAGTGTCATAAGAAGTAGAGGTTGTGGAATAGCTTTTTCCAGTTTTGATCAGTACAACTTGTCCAACAATTCCCTAATATGGTTGACATGCATATAAATGGTTATATAATTTAATTGTACATAATGTTAATAATGATATATTATATCTTTTCCTATTCCATATATTATCAAGTTTGAAATAGGTTTCTACAAATGACCTTATAAATTTCGAGTTGAATAAGAAAAAAAATAAATTAATTAGATCTCGCCTCAGACTCACCTCTAATAATTAATAATGATAATTTTAAATAATACTGTATGTGTGAGTTGATGACAAGATGATATTATTAATAAATAAAACTTTAAACTAAAATCAAACTTTAAAATTTATTAGGATTAAAATCTTTCTTTGAATTTTACTAAAATCAAAGTATTGAACTTTGAGGGAACTGTAAAATAAAATTTAAAAATTCATGAAGACTAAAACTAAGCTTTAAATTTTATAAACCCTAAAACCAAAAAAAAAAAAAACATTACTTTCCATGTTGTAGCCACTAGGATGCCATATCACCTAAATATGTCCATATGTAATGTACTTACACAACAATATGATTGCTAATTGTATTGACGTCGACGTTGACTAGAGTTTAATGTGATACTATTTTGGAAATAGAAGAACAAAGTTTGATGATTTTAAATCGAATGACTAAAATTGAACTTTCTTATGTTTATAAGAAGGGGAAAAAAAAAGATGTTTAATAAATTATTTTAATTTAAAATTAATTTTGTATTCAGAAACAATTTCTTAATAAAGTCTTGTTAATCAGTATTTTAACATGATTTGAGCTGACTTAACATGAATTTAAACATGCATTACATATTCAGTGCTCAAACAAACAGATTTCCGGAAGAAAAAAAATTGTAATACTTGAACAAATTATATGAATAAATTTGAAAGCGATCATATATTCAATAGATAGATAATTAAGTTGGTAACTGATATTATCACACAACTCTCTTGATTTTTTGCATGATATCCTGGACAAACAAGGTCACATTAGAATGAGAGGATCCCCCATTCTCTACAGCCCTTTTAGCCTTAACTGCAAACTCTCTTACCCTTTTTCTTATTTCTTCACTTTCATTTGTCTCATCCATTAACTTTACTATTGCCCTTTCTACATCTTCCTTCTTCACCAGCACACCAACTTCCTCTTCTTCACCCCATGTAACAGGACTCTCCACCCCAACCTTCACTCCAACTTTTAATACTTCAACAACTAGACTTTCATTCAAAAATTGATCCCCAAATAGTGGCCATGTAACCATTGGCACCCCAGCACATATTGCTTCTAAGGTAGAATTCCAACCACAGTGTGTAATGAACCCTCCAACAGAAGGGTGTGATAATATTAGTAATTGAGGAGCCCAACCCCGAATCAGAAGGCCACGAGCACTGGTTCTTGCCTCAAATCCATCTTCCTGAATCCATTTTTCTAATGCTTCTGACTGATTTCCTTCCCTGATAACCCAAATGAAGGGTCTTTCTGATGCTTCTAAGGCTAAACCAAGCTCTATCAATTGTTGTGGTATTAAATTGCATAGGCTTCCAAAGCATGCATACATGACAGATCCTGGCTTTTGACAATCAAGCCAGCATTTCAAGTGGCACTCATCAATTGAGGCCTTATTACCTCTTTCAGCCTTATCCAAGGGATCCTTGTTACTATATGATGATAATGGTCCGAAACACCACACTTTATCGTTTCTCATCTTCTTGAATCCCTCTGCATATGCTGGCTCCAACTCTTCAAAAGAATTCATGATCATCCCATAAGCTTCCATTTCGGCTTCTAACATTGCCTCTTTGATATGTCTCATAGTACTTGCATTCATTGTTAGTCCTGACTGAGCTATGGTTGTTTCAATTTTGTCAGGGATACCAGGCACAACAAAGTAATCCGATTCAGTAGTTATGCTCTCGACAACATTATGGATGCGTATATTAGACATGCAAAAGAAATAGAAGCAACTTACTCCAACAAAAGAAATCCTTGGAATATTAAATTTTTTAGTAATGTGGTTTTGTATATGGTAAACACATATCAGAGATTATGCAGCATGGTGGTGGCGTTAACTCTTCGAATAGTTTTTCCGCTGGTTGTTGTAGAAAGGTTGCTGCATTGAAGAAACTGGCGGCCATGCCAAATGAAGGTAACATATCGAGATTCTCGCATCCATCAGGTACTCCACCTTCTTTGCATGGGAATTGAAGTTGAGCTAATCTGATATCAAAACCAGATTCAATATAACGATCAAAGATCGAGGTGAAACGAGCTGCATTATGTGGTGTTGTGACTACTGTCACAATAACATTGCGGTGCACCAATATTTTTGCAATTTCCATCATGGGAATCATGTGGCCTTGAGCCATCCATGGAAACAAGACAAAGTGGAGTTGCTGTTCTTTGGGAGCCATTTTTGTTGTGGAATGATATATATGGTACGATGAATTTACTTAAACATGTTTATGCTTGCGGTCCTTATATGCATTCATACATCGCTCTATAGGTGATGATGTACGTGCTTACCCAATATACGTTGGATTACGAGATAATATGCATTGGAAATTTCGTTGCCATATTTTGTCTGATTGATTTTGCATCATCTGTTGGAATAAATACATTAAGTTGGAAAGTTTATTTATGCATTGTCGTGTCCCTCTGTCAATGGTAAGCCGGCCACGAGAATCGTAATTTGGATCATGTAAATTAATGTGTTGCTTGGAAGAGGGGGAAGAATCTGAGTAAAATAAAAGAGAAATGGATGAAAATGGATTTAATTTGAAATAAATTAAAAAATAGTGTAAATTTTGTAATTATTTAATAAATTAAAATTAGGTGAAAATATAGAGAAAATTTGATATTTTAAATAGTTAGATTTTTATATAAAAATATATTTTTATTTTAAATAATTACATTTTTACATTTTTCTGATTAATTATTTAGATAATAATATAGGATAGTCTTGTCCATACATTTTTTTTTGTTGTTGTTGAAAATTTCACAAATTCATTATCAAAAAAGTAAAATTAAATCCACCAACTCTATTACAATTCCTTCACAAATTTAATTAAATCATTTCCTCCGAAATACCGTCACGTTTATGAGGAGAAATTCTAACATCTTTATGAAGCATAATCATTGATAATTAATGCATGTGCTCCAACTAGATTTTTATTAGTTTTCATGTGTTAAATTTAACGATACAAAAACACTGCCGCAAGTTCTACATGATTAACAGGTTCATCCCAATAGTTACTGTTGGGGCAACAAAACTAGCAAAATTTGTTCCGGTATGAGCTCAGGAACTCACAGGAAAATTGAAAGAAGGAGAGGTCCACTAATGGAAACCCCATTTCTATGTCCTGAAATCTACATTATCAGTTGTATCGAATTCTAGGTAATGCAGCATAAGTACACACACAATAAATATTTCACATTCACAATATCTAATATTAAAATTCAAACTTTAAACAACTTTATTAAAACACATAAGTCGTTACCAATCAATTTTTATTTTATTATTAAATTTATAATGTAGAACTTTAACGTTTAAAATATTTAATAACATTAACATATATAACGGGTACTCTTTTCTCCTTTTGCGGGATGTCATGGGCCTGTAATTCCCACCTGCAATGTGCCTGCTTAACTTTCTTGTTTTTGGGCCTGAGGCCCTCGATAGAATAAAAGAAAAATTACATACTATATGATTGTCAAATTATTATTATTATATGTGACAAAATAATATAAAAGTTAATTACTTGTATATTGTCAGTGTAAAATTTTTTTACACCGACAACTAATTATATCTTTTAATTTTATTATATTATTATAAAAATATTTATTTTTAACAATGACATAATACAATTAAAAGATATAATTAATTGTTAGTATAAAAAAACTTTACAAAACTCATAATATAAACTCAGCGTCTATAAGCAGGACATACTCTTTTTATCCGTTAAAAAGATATTGTCTCAGAAGTCAGTCCTGTCCAGTCGGCCTGCATTATAAATTAATAAAACAAAAGAAAAACAATGTGCTAGTGTTTGAACTTTGACGGTAAAAAGTAGTGATGCCTCATTCTTAAAAAAAATAATAAATGAAAACAATCTAATTTTAGTCACTTGCAAAAAGAATTCATAAAGAAAATTACTCTAATCTATAATGTTTCTGAGTCAAATAGTTACATCCCACTAATGACAGAGATTTATTAGAAAATTCATCAACGCGCGGAAATACTAAACTTAATGACAGATGTCATGAACAGCATTTGAAAGATAGATAATTAAGTAAAAAACTAAAAGGTGTGGCCTTTTACTATAAAAATGGTTTATGTCAAATGATCATATTTTAGTCATGATTTTTCTTCATGATATCCTGGATAAGCAAGTTCACATTAGAATGAGAGGATCCCCCTTTCTCTACGGCTCTTTTAGCCTTATCTGCAAACTCTCTTACCCTTTTTCTTCTTTCTTCACTCTCGCTTGTCTCATCCATCAACTCCATTATTGCCCTTTCAACATCTTCCTTCTTTACCATCACACCAATTTCCTCTTCCTTGCCCCATGTAACAGGACTTTTCGCCCCAACCGTTACTCCAACTTTTAGTACATGCACCACTAGACTTTCATTCAAAAACTGATCCGCAAATAGTGGCCACGTCACCATTGGAACCCCAGAACAAATAGCTTCTAAGGTAGAGTTCCAACCACAGTGTGTTATGAAGCCTCCAATAGCAGGGTGAGATAATATTAACAACTGAGGAGCCCAACCTCGAATCAGAAGGCTTCTACCATTGGTCCTTTCCTCAAATCCATATTCATTAATCCACTTTTCCAACCCTTCTGAATGACTTCCTTCCCTGATGACCCAAATAAAGGGTCTTTCTGATGCTTCTAAGGCTAAACCAAGCTCTATCAATTGTGGTGGCGTTAAATTGCAAAGGCTTCCAAGGCATGCATAGATTACGCTCCCTGGCTTCTGACAATCAAGCCATTTAACGTGTGGTGACACATCAATTGAACCCCTTCCTCTTTGAGCCTTATCCAAGTGATCCTTGTTAACAAGTGACACAGGACCTATACACCACACTTTTTCTCCTCTAACCTTCTTGTAGTCCCTTGCATATGCTGGCTCCAACTCTTCAAAAGAATTCATGATTATCCCATAACTAGCCATTTCTGCTGCCATAATTTCACTACGAAACTTTTTCCATGTTTCATTGATCGGTTGTGCTGCCTGTGCTATGGTCATTTCAATCTTGTCAGGGATACCAGGCAAAACAAAGTACTCCGACTCGGAAGTTAAGCTATCCTCAACATTATAGATGCGTATATTATGCAGACATAAAAGACAAAAGCAACTTGCTCCAACAAAAGAGATCCTGGGAATGTTGTGTCTTTTGGCGATGTGAATTGTGTATGGTAAACACATATCAGATATTATGCAGCATGGTGGTGGTGTTAACTCTTCGAAGAGTTTTTCAGCTGGTTGCTGCAGAAGGGTTGTTGCTTTGAAGAAAGCCGCGGCCATGCCAAGTGAAGGTATCATATCGAGATTCTCGCATCCATCAGGTACTCCACCTTCTTTGCATGGGAATTCTAGTTGAGCTAATCTGATTCGAAACCCAGATTCGAAATAACGATCAAAGACTGATGTGAAACGTGCTGCATTGTGAGGTGTTGTGACTACTGTCACAATAACATTGCTGTGGACCAATATTTTTGCGATGTCCATCATGGGATTCATGTGGCCTGGAGCCATCAATGGGAACAAGACGAAGTGTGGCTTGTGTGCTTCGGAAGCCATATTTTCTTGCACTGAAATGATGAGGTACAACCAATTCTCATCATCTTGTTTATTTATGCATTGGTGAGTGGTCATGTAAGCTCTTACGTAATCAAGCTTATAGTTGGAGTATGCTGTTAGTCAAGTTTTGAGACCTTTTGTCTGCTTATTTGGGATAAGATTTGGATTTTGGACACATGATAGAGACATGCGGTGTTTGTATTATTCGTATGTTCAAACACCATGTATGACTCCCTGGATATTTCAAATCGACATAGCTAGTAAAACTAGTTGCTATGGGGACCCATGAACAAGAAGCAGTGTTTACAATTAATTATTTCTATGCGTCAATTTGTTTATTGTCCCTTGCACGCTAGCTGGTCCATGAGAGTCGTAATCAGAATTAGAATAATGACTAATGGAATATACTACCATGGAAAAATTAAGACCTAGAGCACCAATAACCAAGGCATGATCCGAGAAGATTTCCAAGTTCATTTTTCATTTTCTCTTTCCTTTTTTTCTAAAAAAAAATGATAAATAGACAATTTATTCTAATATTTTGTTAGTAGAGTATCGATTTATTATAATATTTAAATAAAATGATAAAATTAATTTTAATCTTTTTGAACTTATGGTTGACAATATTATAGTATATATAATTATGTATAAACATATTAGTTATGTGTAAATAGTCCTGACAATTATTTTTATGAATTTTTTTATTTATTTATTGTGTCTTAATAAATTATTATTTAAACTTAAGTTAATTTATTTAATGTTAATAAATATTATATAAAAATGATTATTAAGTGAATTAACCCGCTAACTCATTAATAAACAAAATAAATTAAAATGTTAACCTCACTTTACTATAATGGATTAACCTATTTTTTTAACGAGTCAACAACATGACCTGACTATGAGCGGGTCAACCTAAGTCAATTTTATAGCATGGTTTAGAATTTTATAAGATTTTTATAAAAAAAATTAAGTAAAAAAATTTGTTAGTATTTAATAGGATTTTATATCACTTAAAAATGATTTAATGGTATTTAATCTAGATTTTTAAGATTTTTTAAAGAATCTATTAAAATTCATTAATATTCATTTGAGACTTTTTACAACTTAAATTCAATCTATTGGTATTCAAAAATATAAGAATTTTAAAAGATTGTTGTATTAGGGAATTTTGAAAGATTTTTTTTAGTAATACCTATAAATACCAAATTTATAAAACAATTCAATTCAAACTCGTCAAATTTTGGAGGATTGTTTGAAGTGACATTTTAAGTGTTTCAAGAATTTTCAAGTGAGTTTTTCATCTCTTTTTTTTTCATGTTCATGTCTTCTTCATTTTTTCTCTGTTAATAATATTACACTATTGCTCATATATAATACTGTATTATTATTTTTATTTTATTTCTCTATTTGGTGAAACTCCAAAATGTAAATGATAGTATCATTAACTTACTCTATTTTTCTCTTCATTCTCTTTAATTAAAATTATTTTATTTAGTTGAGTTTGTTCCTCAGATATATAACACAGAAAACGCTTTAATTTTTTATAACACATGTAGGGATGAGAATAAGTCAGACCTTAAATAAAGGTTTATGATCTAGTCTCTTTAAAGTCTGGTCTGGGTATATAAATTTTAATTTTAATTTATTATTTTTAAGTAATTTAATTTATTTTTTTATGTTTTAAAAATATTTAATATTAACTTTTAGTCCAAATTAACATGAATGATATTAATAAAATTTAATGAAAATATAATATTGAATATTATTTAAAAATTAGATGATAGATTCAATTTGATTCTATTATTTTTAAAATATTTAATTTAATTTTTTTAATTTTAAAAAAAAATGTTTAATTTTAAATATAAGAATAATATTAAATATTTTTTAAAATAAAAAATTAAATATTTTAAGAATAATGAAATTAAATTAAATTTTAAAAATAAATAATAAGACTTGTTTAAGTCTTTGTTTTTTATTACTCTCTCTTGCAGTATTTTATTTTTAATTTTTTTCGTTTACTGTGCATATGCACAGATCTCTAGTTTTATAATAAAAAAAACATAAAAAATGATATAAAAATAGATTTGGATTCTCTAGTGTTAACAGATCACATCTATGCAGTTCTAGAACTTTACTTGTCTGACAGAAAACAAGTGGGTAAAAAAATAGAGGAATGAGAGCGAAAGTTGATTTTTTTTATAATATTTATTTGAAAAAATATTTTTATAAAATTATTTTACATATAATTTTATAATGATGAGATATTATTTATTTTAAATGTTTAATATTATTTTTTATTATTATTTAAAAAGTCTCTCACTTATTAAAATATATAAATTATTATTTTTATTAATGTGAATCTTATTTATATCTCAATAATTTTTTTTTTAAACAAAAAATTTAACTTTTCATACATTATTTCTCATATATATTTTTCACTTTTTTCTCTTTAATTAAATAATCAAATTTTTATTTTATTTTTTTATTTTTTATTTCTTTTTATTCTATTTCTTACCTAATCTTTTTCCTTTACCAAACATAAGTTAGATGTTCATATCCTTAAAAATGATGTGTATCAAAAAAATTTATAATAATTAGTATTTTAATATATAATATACATGAGAAGAAAAAAAGTTATCTAAAATTCTTACATATATACACAAAATTGTATATGAGAGAATCTAATCAATTGCAAAGATTCTCCACCGTAAAAATCTTATAAATAAAAAAAACTCTTTATAATGTGGAAACTTCCATGTAATAACGGTATTTTTTATAAAATATTTCATTGATAGACCTTTAATTTTGTTGTTTGTATTATTTATCTTTATATGATATTGTAATTTTTCTAGAATATCTTTTTGCTAAACACATTATAAAAACTAGCAAGACAAGGAGCTGCACCGGATTAAAAAATAATATATTTTTATAAACAGTTTTTTATAATTAGTTTTAAAATAAAATAATACAAATAAAATTAATAGTTATTTATCAATAGTTTCAGAATAAAAATATATATATACTAACACATGAAAGATAATTTTAACGAGTTATATCAAATAATTAAAAAATAAAATACTCTGTATAAAAATAGAAATTAAACCAGTTATCAAATACATTATTATAGAATTTATAATAAAATAAAATTTGTCCTGGCCGTAGTCACGTGTTACACTACTCTTTTACTTTTTTTTAAGTAAAATTGAATTAAATAAGAGGAATACAAAGAGTACTCTAATCCATATACACAACATAATCAAAGTAGTGCACATATGACAACAGGAGATGATTAATGAAAACAACACTAACTATATACCTTCTAAAATAAAGAAGAAAAAAAACATTTTTATTGAAAAACATTTCTTACCTCTTAAATTTTAAAAAATTATAAATAAAATAAAAAATAGATAATTATGAGCAATTATTTAAAAATATGAATAATTATTTTATTTATTTATTTTTAATAATTAAGAGATATAATGATCAATTAAAAATAGAAGAAAAAAACTTCTTGTTTTTACATTTTATGTATTGGAAAGCAAAATCGTGGAAGAGGGCGCAACAGGGATGAATGCAAGGGCGATGTGGCAGTAAGTAATTAATTAATAACAAAAATATATTTTTTTAATGAATAATTAAGAAAATTATGATCGTTATGATTTTTATTATGTGAATATTCAAACTAAAAATACAAGTATATTTTCGTATTCAAATTAATAAATAATATTAATATATAATTTAATATACAATTGTGTTCGATATAATTTTTATGATTTCAACATTCAAATTAGTAATATAATTAGATATTAAAATTCAAACTAAATATTAGTATTACATAATTTCCAAAGCTTCCTTGCAATTTTGCTACTGTTCGTCACATTGTTTATATCATGAGACTAATTATTATACTATAAATTATTATAGTCATTATTAGTATAAAGAAATTTTTCTACCACTTTTAAGATTGTCTTCTCTTTATAATTTCATCTTGTTGACAAAATCTGTAATACATATATTATTTTATAGATTCCAAAATAAAAAATTTCATAATGTTTATATAATCTCACAAAATTGTAACTTTAGAATTTTTTTTTGGCCTTTTACACCGCTTTGTAACTTGCAAGATAGTTTCAAAATATATCACGTTAATTTCTTTAACTGTTTTGACATTTGAAACTTTGCCAAAAATTAAATAGTTTACTCTTAGGCGAATCAATGATAATGTCAAATAGTTTCTCCTAACAAAACAAAACAAATATTAAACTTAATAATTAAGTTTACTTTCTTAACAACTAAAGATATTGATGAATGATGTTGTCTCCACATTACATCAAATGCTGCATTACCGAGCCGAAATGTTTGAATATAATTTGTCGCTTGATTTAATTTTTTTAACCGACAATTCCCATAAGATGAAGCAATCAATTACACACAGCACTGTGACACAGATGAAGCAGACAATCAATATATCCAAAATCTGAAGTAAGCAATCAGTATCGCACACGCCCTTGCAGTGGCGTGACACGACTGGGCTTAATTCTCAGTCTTTGCAAAATGCTACACAACCACACTAAAAAAAAAAAAAAAATTAAACGGTCCGAATTTTTTTCAATAAAAAGTATGATTCCAAATTATTATATATGATTCACAGAAGAAAACATTTCAGGCTTGCATGTGCATCTCCAATTGTTAGATTAAGTAACACGATCTATGGGGAGAAAATGACAGTGCAAGGATATGCAGATTGTGATTGGACAAAGATGAAATATTTATTTTCCCCTTGCCTTTTCTAAGTTCCTCTCACTTATGTCTCGTTCAAAATTCGTGAAATATAACGACATTATTTGTTTAAATACAAATAAGTTAAATTATTTTAGAAAAGTCTCATATTCAAATTTTATAAAAATAAAAATTATTGAGATAATTAATCAAATTCTTTAATAAAATTTAACAACAAAATTAATAAATATAGATGATTACTTAATAAAATACAACATATTCATGATACAATTGTTTTTTGCAAACTACAGTGTCTAACAAATACACCCTACATAAAACTGGACAATGACAATTTTTTCCCACTCACACCATTTAAGATAAAAAATAAAAAAGAGAAATTAAAATTTAATTTTCTCTCCTTTTTGAACCTTAAAAAATATGGGTGTCAAAGCAACTTAAATAAAATGAGTACGCAAATATCACTCTAGATAGTTGAAAACAAATTAAGCACGACATGTAAATTACGAGTCTTTAGGCGTCAGCTTCATATCCTCCTCACCATTACATGATTGTTGCATAATGTCTTGGATAAGCAAAGTCATATCAAGATGAGAAGAACCATCTTTTTCAACGGCTCTCTTTGCCATCTCACTGAGTTTGCCTGCCCTTTCTCTTCTCTCTCTACTTTCTTCATTATCATCATCCATCACCATGCATATTGTCTTCTTAATATCTTCCTTTTTCACCTGCAAACCTACTTTCTCTTCCTCTCCCCACTTCATTGGAATCTCTACCCCAACGCTCACACCAATCTTCAACACTTGAGTAATGAGCTTCTCATTTAAAAATTGGTCACCAAATAAAGGCCAAGTAATCAATGGCACGCCAGCACTTATTCCTTCAAGTGTTGAATTCCAGCCACAGTGTGTTAAGAATCCTCCAATGGCAGGGTGTGATAATATTAGTACTTGTGGAGCCCAACCTCGAATTATAAGGCCTCTCCCTTTGGTCCTTTCCTCAAACCCTTCTTCCATGATCCACTTTTCCAACTCTTGGAACTTACTTCCCTCCCTAATAACCCATACAAATGGTCTTTTAGTGTCCTCCAAGGCCAAGGCCAGCTCCACAAGCTGCGAAGGAATCAAATTACACAAGCTTCCAAAACAAACATAGAGCACAGACTTGGATTGACGCAAATCTAGCCACTTGAAGCAATGGTGCTCATTAATCGAGGCATGGTTGCCTCTTTGAGCCTTATCTAAGCCTTCTTTGTTACAGAATGAAACAGGACCAATGCACCACACCTTATCATTTTTCACCTTCTTGTAATCCCTCACATATGCCTTCTCCAACTCTTCAAACGTATTTATGATTACCCCATATGACTTCATTTCAGCATCACGAATTCGCTCCATGTAGTCATTCATCTCTTCATTGAAACTTGTGACCGTTCCAGGTAATTGATCTTTAGTAACTTGAATTTGGTCAGGTATGCCAGGTATAATGAAGTGCCCGGATTCTGAAGTGAGGCCTTCCGAAACCTTTGAAGTGTGTATCATGTGTCGACAATGGAGGCAGAAGCAAGAAAAACCGTGGAATGAAATCCTTGGAATATGAAACTTCTCAGCTACTTGAGCAGTCCAAGGAATGCAAAAATCAGAGATTATGCAACTTGGCTTGGGTGTTAGCTGTTGAAACAATTCTTCTGCAGGCTTCTGGAGCAAGCTGATGGCTAGGAAGATTTTGTAGATCATATCGCTCGAAGCTACCATGTCGAGGTTTTCACACCCTTCAGGTAGTCCTGCTTCTTTTGATGGAAAATGAAATAGTACTAACCGAATTTGAAGGCCGGATGCACGTTGGAAAGGTGTACTTTCACGAGTTTTGCCAATTCTTGGAAATGTGCGAGACATGCACCGACCAATTTTTGCAAATGGTATGGTGATTTTTCTATTAATTTGTTGATCGGTGTGTAATAGAAGCATTTAATGTTGTTACCCGTCCAAGTGGCTTAGTTAATGTATCTAAGGTGTGATATTTTAATTGTTCTTTTTGAAAATAGTTGTTTTTAAATAATGACATGCCTGATTACAGATACACTATCAAGTTTGTAAGTACTTACATTTACAAGGAACAAAAACAAATCATCTGGATACACCAAGCCAACTGTCAGAAAGCAATGCTGAACCTCATTATACATCTGTCATACGTAATTGAATAAATCAAATATTGAACTTTTTTACTATGTATAATAGAAAAGGAAAAAACTTTTCTAAATTGATAGTCTCAAAGTGAGCAAATAAAGGTGTATCCAACCTTAAATTTTAGTAGCTTAAGATTATGATACACTTTAAATTAAAAGTGTATACATCCTTACCTGAAAGAAAATAAATGGAAGAGAAACAACAAGCACAAAGCCAAAGATATACCTCCAATGACATCCACAAAAGAATGAACAAGAGGGAGAATTATCATTTCAAATGACTCTCCAAAGCCCAAACCCTTTGCATGTGTCAAAAAGCAACCCATGAACGCACCATCTAACCCAGATACAGCACCTCTAAAGTGAGCAAGTACAGATGTATCCACCCACCCTTGATTTTAATATAAAACACTCTGTGCCCTTAATCCACTATTAAGGGTGAATACATCATTCCTTGCTTAGAGGAGTTTTTCCTTCTAGTCCTTAAGGAAGTCAAAGAAGACAACTCTGTCTTAAAATCAGAGACAAGTTATACAGGCTAAAAATCCTTACATTGAATTCTAGACAACTATATCAACCCCACAGACAAAGAACATCTCCACAAAATGATAATGACAATTGACAAATAACACTGACCTACACAGCCACAATCAGCCATCACCTTCGATGCAAAAGGCACCAGGAAATTGAAAGAAGAAAAAAAGTAAACTAACCTATATGCCTCCAACTGAAACTGAACTCCAAGTAAAAAAGTAACATAACCCATAGACACTAAAAAGACATGTACCCTTAAATTCAAAGAAATAAAAAATGAGGGTTGGTAAAAGAGGAATAAAGCTGGAACTTAGCAGCAACAGGTGCTACAGTAATTATCAATTTAAATAATTCTAAGTTTCCAATAAATGAAATCAATAGCATTACCTTTAGTCCCACAGAGAAATCTGATTGGTCTTTGCTGTCATTATTGATAGAAACCACAGGTAGAAGTGTTGATAAAATAAGAGTCAAATCCTGCAACCAATGATTTTCTTTAAATTTCTCAAGTGATTAAATTCCAGCAAGACACAGATGAAGCACCTTTTTATTCAAAGGGAAGCATACAATCTAGACTAGCAACATTTATGTAGGCATCTTAAGTTGTTGCACAGGTACAAACCTGAGAAAATACAGTACAAGGATACCAAAAAATTCTAAAGATCCAAATATAAAGGCATAGAAACATATAGTACATAAAATATATAATTATATACATGAAATTAAGAAAGTAATTGGAGAGGAAAAGCAACATGCCAGAGGTGTTAAACAGCAGAACAAATTTATGGAAAACCACCAGCAACGTAAAGGGAAATTTGGGAAAGAAACAAGAGAAAGGAGATGTTCAAACTATATAGGCAGAGCATGCGAGAAGTATCCTCTCTGTCAAGGACCTTCTACTTCATGTCTTTTGCTTGTAGGAAATCTTGCAGCAAAACAATGTTATTTTATTTAAGAAATTGAAACATGTATCATGGCCTATACAAATTGTACCTGAAGTACCCAACTATACACACAAATTATATACTATTTATAAATACAGCATGATGTTTGGAGTGTGTCCATGGTTCCAAGAGGAATTGAGAGTCTTAAATAAGTACGTCATTCAATAGGTGATTCCTAAAGCATCAAAAAGAAAAAGGAAAATATATATATATATATATGTCAGAGATGTTTCGAGGGGCAATAAATCTTGACCAGTGTTTTCAAAACCAGTTCCACTGTCAACTGGACGAAATTACACAAGCTTCCAAAACAAACATAGAGCACAGACTTGGATTGACGCAAATCTAGCCACTTGAAGCAATGGTGCTCATTAATCGAGGCATGGTTGCCTCTTTGAGCCTTATCTAAGCCTTCTTTGTTACAGAATGAAACAGGACCAATGCACCACACCTTATCATTTTTCACCTTCTTGTAATCCCTCACATATGCCTTCTCCAACTCTTCAAACGTATTTATGATTACCCCATATGACTTCATTTCAGCATCACGAATTCGCTCCATGTAGTCATTCATCTCTTCATTGAAACTTGTGACCGTTCCAGGTAATTGATCTTTAGTAACTTGAATTTGGTCAGGTATGCCAGGTATAATGAAGTGCCCGGATTCTGAAGTGAGGCCTTCCGAAACCTTTGAAGTGTGTATCATGTGTCGACAATGGAGGCAGAAGCAAGAAAAACCGTGGAATGAAATCCTTGGAATATGAAACTTCTCAGCTACTTGAGCAGTCCAAGGAATGCAAAAATCAGAGATTATGCAACTTGGCTTGGGTGTTAGCTGTTGAAACAATTCTTCTGCAGGCTTCTGGAGCAAGCTGATGGCTAGGAAGATTTTGTAGATCATATCGCTCGAAGCTACCATGTCGAGGTTTTCACACCCTTCAGGTAGTCCTGCTTCTTTTGATGGAAAATGAAATAGTACTAACCGAATTTGAAGGCCGGATGAAATGGCACGAGAAAGAACCGAATTGAAACGTGATGCATTTTTTGGGGTAGTGAAAATGGTAACTGTTACTCCACGTTGAGCCAGTAGTCTTGCAATGTCCATCATGGGAATGATGTGACCTTGGGCCATCAAAGGAAACAAGACGAAGTGAGCATTGGTTGTTTGGAAAACCATGGCTATAGGCAGGGAATAGGGATATGAAATGAGACGTAGTATAGTTTGTCACTCTATGTTGGAGTTGGCCTTTGTTGTGTGCATTGATTGTACTTGTACCTATTTATAAAGTGAGACAGTTTCTAAGCTCTCGAACTTCTTAATGTGTGATGACGTAAGAGCATATGCAATGAGCCATAAATTATTGAAGGCACGCGCTTGTGGTGCATGTATTGGATTGGCCTGAAATTATTAAGTGGTCGAACAATAAAAGTTTGTAAGTATCTTCCCCAATTTTTGAAGATAAATGCATTTCATTGTACCAAAATAGCATCAAGGGTTGAGAGATTGCCGTTGCAGAGAAGAAATATATAAATTCAACTGTTTGTTATTGACAAAATTTGTCAACAATAAATAAAAATACTTTTTATTTTTTCACAAACACTAAAAAAATTAATAGTGAACATCTAAAATTTAATTGTATTAAATAAAACACATTCATATTCGAATAAAATTACTACTCACACACACACACAAAATTATTTATTTGAATTATTTATTTAAATAAATAAATTTTTATTCAAATACGTTAAAACGTAAACTTTACTTTCATAGAATAAAAATAAACTTTGTCTCCAATTAATTACATTTTTATTCGAATACACTAGAATGTCATTTTTTTTTATTGATTTGAATAAATAACTTTTTTTATTCAACTACGTTAAAATGTAAACTCAATCAAATGATAGTAAACTTTCATTCGAATAATATTCAATGAAAGTTTTGTTTATTTATTTTAAATAATTAATCAATTTATTTAATTTAAGTTTATTATTTTAATTAATTTTTAATCTAAAAATTATTTACTTATTTTAATTAATTATTTATTTATTTTAAAATATTTTTTAGTTAGTTATATAATTTTTATTTAAATAATTAAAATAAAAATTAGTTGATAAAAAAATAATTTTGAAAATATTTTAATTTAGTACTCTATTATTTATTTATTTATCTCTTTTTTATATATATTTTTATTTATATTTAATTCCTCCTATTTTATTAAATATATAATATTATTTTTCACATATTTTTTTAATCAAATAATCAGATTTTTGCTATATTTTTTAGTTTTTTTTTAATGTTTTCTATTTTATTTTTATCTATCTTTTCTTCTTCTTTATCAGACACTTTCAAATGAATTAGCCAAAAAATTATTTGTTAAAACTGACAATTGTCAAATCAATCAAATGTAACAAATATAAAATATTGATTTTAACTTTTAAAGATTTTTTTCTTTTCAAATTTGCCCCATACTTACACAACCTGTCGGTACGTATATCAAGAGACTTTCACTCTTTCATACCATCTCTTACACTTGTCTACCAAAAATCACAACTCACTTATTTTTCTCACACAAATAGCTACCGTAGTCCAAAAGAGAAAGACTGAAGATACATCCTCTTTTCCGAATCATCGTCCAAAAGTTAAAATATTAATATTTTTTAATAAATTTATTATAAAATAAGTATTTAATTTAATATTTTATAATTTAAATTAATATTTTAATATTTCGGAATGTTTTTCGGAAGGAAGAATTCGGAGGTATATCATTTTTCAAAGAGAAAAAAAGCAATCATGAGTTATATTTGTACCCTTCCTGCCTTTTTGTCGCGAGGTTCACGAGAAAGTGTTTCGATATAGTTTTTATTTTTTATTTTTTTCTGTTTAAGGTTAATAAACAAGTGTATCTTTTCGGTCTTTGTTAAGATGATTAGATTTGACTGAGTGCGTAGTTGAGTATGACATTACTAATATCTGAATTTGAAAATAGTTAGATATTTATCTAACTCAAGTGGAGTTGGATTCCGATTCGTGATCAATCTGATTCACCTCAAGAATGTGTCAAGTCAGGTTCAAAAATAATTTTCAGAAATTATAATGAGTTAAAAAATATGACTCGATCTATATGGTATTCACTTGACCCACTTACTCTCTAATTAATTTAACTCCTATCAATCCTCTTAATTATTTATTATTATAATTTCAAAATATTATTATTATTTTTAGATAAAAATAAAATCAATATTAAATAACATAAAATTATTATAAATTTATCTACTCAAACTTTCAATCAAATTTAATATTAATGAATAGATTTTTATTTTTATTTTTTGATTATTTAAATTTTATAGTTTTTAATTTAAATTTAATGTTATGTCATGATATTTAGTTTCACAATTTTTATTTTAGATTAAAATTTTATTTTAAATTAATTTAAAAAAAATTAGGCGAGTTGGTAGATTGATTCATTTAGTCCACCAACTTGTAATGGGTCAGACTAAGTTAGAAAATTTTGCACTTTAAGATTAATGAATTGAGTTAGATCAACCCACTTAAAAAGTGAGTTGAAATAGATAAGGCTAAATGGGTCAAGTTGGTTCATTTTGACATTTCTAAACTCAAGTCCCATATTTAACACATATAATTATTAATGATTATGATTATGTACAAAATACGATTTTAAATAATAAATAAATTTTTTTAAAATCTTGAGATTATTTGGGCATATAAAAACACAATAATTATCTGTAAAATTTTTATTATAGGATAAATAAAAAGATAATCATATTATATTTTTGAATATTTTAATCTTAAATAAATGACTAGATTATCTCTACTACATTTTTCAAATCGAAATATTTTTACACTTATCATAGGATTTAGTAAAACTTTTTCAACGACCGCATATAAAACTCCAAAACCTCAAATTTTGGGTTAATAAACATTCAATCCATTAATTCTAAGATAGTTGAACATAATGACTACCTCAAAATAGAAATCTTTTGTTATAGAATGTTACTCAATAGATGAAAAATTTGAATTGCTTTTAACTCATTAGTAGGGGCAAAAAAGGAAAGGACAAAGACAAAAAAGTGTAGCTAGGAACAATCACAAGATAAAATGCCTCTCAAAAGATATAACGTCGACACCTTTATTTTTCCATCTATCATGTAAAAATATGGTAATATTTATTTTGTTCTCAACTCAAAAAATGTTGGTCTCAGTTACTACTCCAGGAGATCAAAAGCATGCTACTTTAAGCAAACAGATAATTGGAAGAAAAAAAAACAAATCAAAAACATCGGTTTCAAGATTGTTGAATCCATCAAATAGATTTCTCTTCAATTTCATCTCAAAAACAATATTTTTTTTCTAATATTATTTATTGAAATTCAAATAAAAAATTTCAAATGATTTCATATTTTAAAATATTTTCAAATAAGTTGTGAATAAAATGAAATAAAATAAAATAATTTGACATTTATATAAAATAATAAAAACTGAAAAATATTTTTTATAAAAATCAAAAGAATTAATATTTAACCAGATCTCTATCACTATCATTTTCTTTATTTTGCCTTAACCACAGTCCTGTTAAAACAGAATCCCAATAATCTAATATACATATTCATGAAAGAAGGTCTTCAACAGTGAATTTTCAAACGGATAAGTTGGCTAAACGACCAATTTGGTGCAGTTTGAGAAACTATTTACTAAAATGGGGCTGTTTTGAAACATATTACACCTTTGGGGCTGTTTTCTTCGGTGTCACTATGGCCCATAATGACACCAGTGACACGTGGCAATTTTGGGTCTGATAATAAGCCATGAACGTCATATTAGTAGAGTCGCTATAGCTGGTGGAGTCTCAAAAGAAGTCGCTATAGGCTATAGCGACTCAATCCGACTTACACTAAAATCGCTATAGCCTATAACATCACATTTATATAAATAATATAAAAAATATTAATATAAATTTAAAAATATAAAAGATTATGTGAAGAAAAAATGAATAAAAATAACGTAATATAAGAAAAATAAGAAAATCTATTTTGTTAAAAAATAATAATTAAACTTTAAAATAATAATTGAAAATAATAACAGTGGGGCGCTATGGCCCATAGCATGACCTAGGCGCTATGGCCCAGAGCGTGACCTAGGCGCTATGGCCCAGAGCGCCGGTTTTAAAATTATAGCTATTATTTTATAAATATAAAATTTGATAAATAATTAATAAAAAAATTTGGGATAAAAGCGCAAAAAAGAATTGAAATAAGAAAAAATATAATTTTTAAAAATATAGTAATATAATGTGAAAATATTTTTAAAAGAAAAAAAAAAAAAAAAAGTGGGGCGCTATGGCTCATAGCGTGACCCAGGCGCTATGGCCCATAGCCTTTGTTTTAAAATTATATATGTTATTTTATAAATATAAAATTTGATATATAATTTATAAAAAAAATTGCGGATAAAACCGAAAAAAAGAATTGAAATAAGGAAAAATATAATTTTTAAAAATTTAGTAATATAATGTGAAAAAATTGTAAAAAGGAAAAAAAAAAATGGGGCGCTATGGCCCATGTCTCCACTGGGGCGCTATGGCCCATGGCGCCACTAAGGCGCTAGGACCTACAGCGCCACTTTGAATGGCCATGTGCTGCTTGCCACGTGTCATTTTAACCGCAGGCTTGGCCAATCAAATGCTGACACGTGGCACTCCGTGTTAAAAAATTGATTTTTACCCTTATAAATTAACCCAGATGGTCCCCCTCCCCCACTTTTGCTTCGTCTCCTCTCCGTTTCAGGTAAGTTTCTCTTATTTTTTTTTAACTTTTCATAATTTTATTTTATTAAATATTTTATATTTATTTTACGTTTAGGTTAATATTAATTTTTACCTTTTATTTAGGTATTTCTTTATTTGGATTTCTGCTGCTCGTGAGTTTCTTCGTTTGAGATAAATTTTATTTTGAGCTTATATTTTTTTTTATAATATTTAAAAGTCGCTATAGGGTATTTAACTTTGCATATTTTATTTAGTTAATTATTGTTATTTATTTTTTAATTATGTATTTTGTTTCTGTTTAATCATATTTATTTTAAGTTGTATTTTGTTTCTGTTTAATTATATTTATTTTAAGTTGGTTATAACTGATAATTTATTTAATTTTTTCTGATTATAATTGGTTTATTTGAATTAATCAATTTATTTTATATTTAAATTATTTATTTGGATTCTGTGTTATTTATGCAATATTAATTATTT